TTGCCACACGTCGAACTGGAAGCATCGATGTATAACGGGTGCTGCGTGTAGAGTAAATGACACAATTTATCAGTTGCATGCACTGCATTTTGAAGTTTACTACATTCATCGTCATCTGATAGTATTCCATCTTGTATTTTAGTTCATATCGAGAATTTAGATTCATTATGTTATATTATGGGTTACATGAGGTGTTTGTATTTGACACGTGATCTTATCACAGATAATTCACGCTGTTATACAGATCATAACTTTGGAGGATTTGCGATGAGAAATCATTTGTTTATCTATGACAATCATGTCAAACTCGTCTAAAGACGGAAGACAGTTACGTAGCCATTTAATCAACCAAAATACATCGCACTAAATACTATGGTCAGCAAAGCATGAAATTACACTGTGTATTATACTATATATGGCTTGGACTTGAAGAAAAGTTTCGACTTGTGCCACGAGCATTGGAAATGAGAGAAAATGTTACATATTGCCTTAAATATTTTCCTTTTGTTCGAATGAATACAAACAGATACATTGCACGCTTTATTATTTGATTACTTCTAATACAATACAATGCAATAATGTCACGTGATATTGAAAACATCATTCTAATACGTGTTGTTAATAACACAAGCACATTGGTTTAACACCGTCTGCCATACGTTCGCGTAAAGGTCCTAGCAAAAATAACAGCACCAGTTGCAATTACAATAAATGTAAGTCATTTAGGCTTATTTTACTGACTTGTCAAGAGAGTAAATAGTCTGTATCTTTATTGTGTCAATGTTTTCACATTGAAAAGAGGAGAAAGTTATCTAACTAACTCACGTGGTTAATTGTTTGGCTTTGCTTCCGGGGTGTGGTGGCCCATACACTGATCTGTACATACTATCGAACTTTAACATTTAACTTAATTTTCATGTCTTCTATCATTATCAAAAATTGGATTTTGAAACATCACCTATTTACTATCATATCTTGTATGGATCAGATTTAAATTCAAGGATAATTTATTACAGTCTAAGGCGTTATCGTCTTTTGTAACACGCATGCGTGGGTTCGCGTGCAGTTAATTTCTTCCTATTCACATCAATAAACTATGTCGATTGATTTTATCTATATTAGTAGTGTAATCATTAACATACAAAGCTTCTTCAATATTTATTTTACTGTAAATTGCAGATGTTATCGGATATATTGATGGCGGAGTTGGAATTGTGTTCCACAAGGCTCCCCAATATATAAGCCTTGCAATAAACTTTAAAAACAATGTTTCAATACAACCTCCTTAACAAATGTATATGTGAATTACCGGTATATATAATTAATATGCTTTCACCAAAATAGCAAAACAGAATTTTTTTTTCAAATCGCTCATAACTAAAATATCATCATCTCACTGTGAGCCAAGTGTCACTATTGTGTTTTAAGAGATGCATAAGACATCAATGTATAATACAAAATATGATCATATACCACAAAAAGTTATAAACCAAATAATTAAGAAATCACAATAAGAAACATCTTCAAATAAATATATAAATTTGAAATCGTGAATAATCACAATAAATAATACATTGCAAGATATATATACTCAAATATTATTTGGGGGAATTGGCCATACAAGGGTTGGATTGCAAGGGAAGTCATAACGACAATTACAATAAAAACATGGCTAGCACGATTGAAAGTTTACTTTTCGTCATCCAAAAAATATATTTCTATGAAAAGAAGTTGATATCAACAGACCTTCTTCGGTTGTATTGCGGTGTAAAATAGATTTACAACATCATGTTATTAGACATGGCGACTGCTGGTTTTAGTGTATGTAATAGTTATATGCAAATTCCATATGCATCGGTTCGGTTTATTCAATACTAAAATAACCCATATAGGTATGGAATGTGTGTTTGAGACACCGTGTAATCTTTAAAAGTATAGTGTACGATAAAGTTATCTAAATCTTCGTTGGTCATTTCCGGTATACATATTTACACCAGAAGTAAGTCATTTGATAGTCATTTTGAGTCATCTCGAAACCGCTTGGTAGGAGATCTTTATACAATAAAACCCTGCACGAATTTGTGCTCAGTAGAAATAACATGTATTTTAAACTGAGTATTCGCATACTCAAATTGTGCAAAATAAAAAGAAATAAATCAATGCGCATAATAAAAATAGAAATAATGCCAATAATCAAAACAGAAAGGTTAATTCCATGATGAAAGAGGTCAATGCGCATAATCGAAACAAAAGAGTCAATGCGCAAAATAAATCCATAGCAATATATTAAAACGCAAATGTGTTATTGCTTGCAATGCTTTAATCTGTCAAGTACTGAGCCAAACTGAACTGTAGTAGCAGATGAATATACACGAAGAAAATTTCAGGATATGCAAGCTATGAAATAAAACAATGATTATTTGCAGAAAGAATTAACATATACATTGATTACAAATAACATATGAACAAATTCGGCTAAAACGCAATCCATGACCATATTTAAACCGAAAATAAAAATATGAACCCAATACATCTGATATAGCTGTTAATGATCATATATCGAGGCCGGGTGAAAGCGGGGCTGACGGAGGCACGTCGTATCGTAAATGTAACCAGATACGTGATGGGTATAAAAGGAAACAATTTGGTTAGCCATACCTTTATGTAACGAGAGACTATGATAGCGATTGTTGTACCGCGCAGTTTGTATGATAATACCTTTGCTTAATTGACGAGTTCTGTGGTGATAATGGGCGTATTGATCCTATAATTTGATCCATAACCACATTGGATCACAATATGTGTATCTAATATCATCGCAACTGAGATATCATGTAGAGGATCATTAGTCAAACAGTTAGGGACCAACCAATGAGTATTTATATGGAGTGAGATTACTGACAAGTTTAGGTTCATCGCGTTCTTGGTTATTGGTTGTTTGCTTTTTTTTTATTTCAGTTCTATTATTTCACCATTATTTTATAATTGTTACTAGAGTCATTTGATAGTTCAAGTGCTATACGAATATTACGTAAGATGCCGCTCTACATTACTCTACTGCAACTTACTTTTGAACATTGGCTTGGTTTCTCGTGAATTCCTGTTGAAGTCACAAATGGGTGTCCCATTTAAGTCACAGTATATACAGGGTCAATGCCATAAATTGATGTTCTTCTTAAGTCACAGTATATGCGAGAGGGGCATTAACATCACTTTACCATCAAAATAGTTATATATGCTACATAGCAACAACTCCACAATACAAGTATATTGGTATGACGAATTTATAACGTATTTTACCCTAGTGGCTCTGGACTGTTCCCATGGATACATGTATTAATGTAACTTATCAAATATTAAAATGTGTAAGACGGTTTTATTTTCTGTATGTTCCCCCCCCCCAGTTCGTTTACATTCTAAACGCATGATTTTTTCTATCGTAATTATATTGATAAAGATATATTGATAATCAATTGGGAATTGATTTGTTTCTAAGCATCCCGTATAAATGTGTAATTGCATTACCCGCCTCGAGGGGTCGCGTTTATGACTTGCACAATGTAAGAATTGTTTAATGGGAGCGATATCGCAAATAATAAATCATAGGTATCAAACCCCAATGATAACAAATCACGCAGTATCCAATTGTAATTAGTTTCATTGCCATCTGTTGAAACATGTGACATCATCATACACGTCACTGGTCTTGATTTCTTGGAATCTATTTGTAAAGACGTTGGTGCTATAATGTATTAACAATGACTCATTACTATTCATACATAATTACCCGCCGTAAATTGCGTTCCGCAAAGATCAATTGGTGTATGATATACGTAAGTCTTTATAAAACGTGCGAGAACGCCACAGATGAAGGCATATTTTGAGCAATCACGTCTGTTGAAGGTAGTAATGAGAAATGTCGAAGGTAAAACACTGACTCGCAGCATATAATGAAGGCAATTTAACGTTCTCTCGGGTTAACTCGGCGTGTGTATCGCTAAAATCGCTAATTGTAGTGTTAACACGTTACATACGCACGATAACATGTTTTATCAACATTACACCGTAGTAATTACAGGGTGTCTTTTCGATGATAGAGGCACGTACAGAGTGTCCTCAGTTAGTATCATTATAGTTTCGATTAACATCAGTGTATCTCAAGATAGACATCGCATGTGTGAGTTAACCCTTAGAACGCCGCTCCCAAGGTGGTTGTGACAATTTGTAGTTTTTTTTTAATCGCGCTTATTTATTTAGTTTTTCGTAAAAAATCTTCGTCAATTTGAAAACAAATGGTTTAAATTTCTATTGCGTGCGTGTCTTAGCCATTTTTTAAACAAACAATCCGGTTTGTTTAGCGAAAGATGATAAAAGATGATTTTGGCGTTTACAGTGTTAAGAAAGACGGGACGTCGCGTCAGCGTCCTAACAATGAAACGTTGAGGAAAAGCGCACTCGTTGTTACGTTTTTTTACTGCGCTCAAATTCTACGTATTCAGGGAACAACAACTAATATGTAAATGTTGATTTCATTACTTGGAATACTTAATATAAATCTAAATGCACAGTAGTTAAACAGTTAGTGGAATTGGAAAATGTAAAGTTGCAAACTTACTACAATACATTCAATTCCATGTAGTCGTAAAATACGAGACTCGATATACTCGATAAGTTAAATTGTAAACGCCGTGCGAACGAAAAACTTCGTACTATTGAACGACAGTGATAAAGTCGTTATAATCAGTTTACCATTTCTACAAAAGAGTCCTGTTCAAGTCAAGCCATTTTGCTAATAACAATACTGATAAAATGTCCCCCAAAGATTGAAAGACATATCTTTTTTCTGCGTACATCAAAATTATTACTGAATTTATAGAAAAAATACAGAAACATTCACATAATTTTGATTAAATTGCAGAAATATCATAATTATTGTTAAAAAAATAGAATCAACTATTCATAATGAACAGAGCAAAATATAATCGAGTGTTACCACATACCTGGCAGCTAGCAAATATTTGTAAGAGTACAGCGAGGAAAGGCAGTGCGTTTAGCATCATGATGGCAGAGAAGACTTCGATATTTGTACGCGATGCTGATCAATTTGCGACGTTGATTACGCTTAAACTCGGGATACCTTAAAGATGAAGATGATAGTTATTGGCAGATGACTAAACTCAACAACGCTTCGACTTGACTATTTCTATGACTTCTTTGATGAGAAAGACTTGATAACCGATCGTAAAATAATCGCGTGTAACCGAGTACAAATTATTCAGCTGTATATATAGGAATATCATCGCCCACTGTACCAAATACGAAGACGCGTACATAGCGGGATCTAATTTGCATACCTCGTGAACGATTGTAATCGACATACGGGAAGAAGCTCGTTCAAAACTACGCCCTCAATACGAATACTGACCGGGATTTCGAATTACTTATTATACTTTATTCAAAAGGCTGTTCGAATTAGATCATTAAATGATGTTAGCCGAAGCACAACCATCATAAATGAAGGTACAACCATCAACCTGTTGAACGCTAGCGCCAACTTTTTTGTCTTTTTGCACACATTTCGTCAAAAAAAATATGGTAAAATTGAAAGTTGTGTTCGTTTTATCCAAAAATAGTGCAGAAATTATAAAAAAAATCAATACAGACTAATGTGCAAAGTGTTTCACTTACATTTTGGCGGGAAAATCATGGCCTGTAAAGTGGTAGTCAGCATAATGGGTTTTAATGAGAATCGTATTTTTTATGATACTATTGCAATATTTATTTGTCGATATTAGTGCAATTGTACCTCTTTTAAACAAATATTGTTATTATTCCAAGTAATTATCTGAAGGCAATTTACATAACACATGTGTTCTATTTGCGTTCTGTTACACACATCTATTCACGATACCATTGAATAGGTATGGCTGTTATTACCTGCGCGTATAACCATTGCTCATAGGTTACTTCGTAACGTTATTTATTAAAAATTGGTATCCCACAAACCATCTTTTAAAATAAGTACATTTCACTTGAACATCACGCGGACGTAGTTACGTATACATCACGTGGACCTTAGTCCCAAGTGGCCGCCGACATCTTGTCGAGAGCTGGAAAGTCGCGAGGCACTCCTACGCACAGTTCTATTTCTAAGAATCAATATTCTAAACAATTTTGATATAAAGTATTTACTTTCATAATACCATGTGCCATAATCAATTATTTTAATACATACATGTATGTAATGTATAGCATTTTTAGGGATTGACCATTAGAAACTATGGTAGACTTGGGCAAGTGGTATCGGAGGCAAGAACAATTTACATGTATTTTTATTTTTTATAGTATATTAGCAGGTAAAACAACTCCTGAAAAAAACCGTGCGTAGTGAAGGCTGCCTATGAAAAACGCAACTCTATGTGGGTCTATGATTACGCGTACTGAAAGGTTAAAAAATGAACAGCAAAAACAAATCTCGTGGCGTTCTCACTCTCAACGAGACCTCGGCGGCCATTTGCATGAAAGGTTTATTGAATATTGGTGTATACTTTATTATACACACTTTGTAGATCTTATACTATATATATTTCTCGAGCACTATTGAATATTGTCTACATAACATATTTATAACACATACTTTACCTTGGTGTTTTATTTTCTATCATGGTCGGGGCCGTAGTTTCAGGAACACCGTGAGTTAACAGGGGGAAACAACGTAATTCTTGGTTTAAATCTTGCAGCCGTTTCAGGTACAATATCCCTCAGAATGGGGTTTCCATCCATTCATGACATTGAGGCTGAGTGGTGAACTTGACAGAGTCCCACTCCCTGTTTATAAATATAAAATACTGTTAAAGACTTTTAAATATGATGATGAAACGAGGACTCACTCACAAATATACTAATGTGAATTCAACACCATACATTTTGGGAGGGCAAAAAATTACAAAATATCGCATAATTGTGGGTTTGTAGAAGTGTGGTTGCAACAAGGCGTGAGCAATATAAACGTGTTTTTCAGGTGTTTTAAACAAGGCTGTGTGGAAATTGATATCGCAAACTAGTCATAATTCATAGCTCCAGCAAATTAGACACGTATTCACTCCACAAAAATCATCCAACCCTCAAGCCTTATCTGCCTTAACCATCCTCATAGCTGCATATATTACGCATGTCTGCCCACTCACTAACTCAAAGTTGAAACTTGGCGCTGAAACAACTTTCCAATCTCGGATGTGTCGAAGACGAATTTCAATTTTTATTAGTCTGCCCCGTATACAATGAGCTGAGGTTCCAATTCATGCCAAGGTTATTTTTTCAACCTCTCCTAATTTACATATTCTATTCCCCTTTATCAACTGAACATAGAGGATACATTTTATATGCCTTTAAATCCAAAAAAAACCTGCCGTTGTGATTGTTTATTATTTTAACTCACCTCCAGCGCATTATGATATATACATACTTGTCACTGATGTTGTATTTCTAGGCCGGCGGCCTCTAAGATTGAATGACAAACTGAATTTTATAATATGCAAGATTAAACACTACGTAAAATAAATAATTTATTATACTCAAGAACGACTAAACTTTAACTTTCAAACAAATGTTTGGCAGATATTAGCCTGTGGATATATATGATAACACTCACAAAAACGATCTCAGATTACATAACTATCAGTTCAGACATCAGGTTTCTTACAGAAGACAAGTTATTATGACGCGTGATATACATATATTATATAATATTATCACTGCATTCAAAACATATTTTGCTGGCTTATTCAGTTTTCAGCAGCGGGTAGTGGATGAAATACCACTGAGGGCATCATACAGCAGTTGGTATATACGGTGGAAAACAGCGTGATTCAAACGATTCACAGTCAATTCGTCCCAACACATTCGTCCTACAAGTCCATCCGTTCCAATTCACATTCGTCCCATAGGTTGACATCGACGTGCAGTATATGCTATGTCTTGTCGGTTTACGTTGCAGATTCGGCCAACTGTACACGCTTGCTAAATACCACGAACTATGACTACCCAGCACCACCATACTTGCTTGTATTCACCGTGGGGTGGCAGGTCAATCGCGCCCATTTGTTTTGGGCATAGTGTAATAGTTTACTAGTATGTTAAATATACATTGCATACAGATAAAAGACGGGAAGTCCGCGCTTGAATTAATTGTTTACATCTATGCGACGATTTAAATAGACACTGAAGTTAAGGCACAAATCGAGTATAAGATTTAGTTTATCTTCACTGACAGCTTGGATATATACATTGCTAATAAGTTGCTAAAACTTTTTAATTTAAAAGCAATGATATTTAAAGCCATGTACCAAACAGGTTGCGACTAAAGAAATGTCAAAGAAGAAAACATACGCAATTAAGTGTATCGTTGGTGCACATTAAGCCACGCTGCTGGATAAAGGTGAAAATAACAATTATATAAAATCTGCATAACAAGCAATGACTTACTTACAGAGTGGCTGGGACGTTGGTGAACAATTTACATTACATAAAATTTACATATTTAGCACGTTAGATTTTTTAGATGACCTTGCTCTAGAAATAAATGCACGAGACGCTGGAGAAAAAGCGAAACGTGCTCATTTGAAGATTACGCTGACATGTGTAACTAGTCGGGAGAAAAGCGAAAAGTACAATATACCTGCAGGAAACAGCGAACGTGCAAATGTCCCGACTTCTGGACATAGATGTATTTCTTTTACAAGGACCGGCCTTAATGGGTCTTCACTTCAGATCGCCAATAAATAAGATTTTCCTTGTGTGGGCCACGTTAAAAGAGAAAGGCAATATTTTGAGGTTGTGTCATACTTGACAACATTTCAACTACCCCAAGTGTCCATAGAATTTCGCAAAATTGTATATATTTGAATTTCTGGCCGGTTGTTTCAGTTGAAGCAAGATATCACGATAGCTTAAACAAAAATCCTATAAATCATACAAATACAGATGTTGGAATACGTCCATATTTCATCGTCAACAGATGTCCTATGAAACATAATCTATGTTGACCAGTGATGTTGCATCTACGTCATCGACCATGTTCACGGGTACCAACAAAGACCATAAAACTGTTCCACAAACACCCGGGAATGAGGTATTGCCAGATTCAACTCGAGAATAAAATGCACACAGACGAACAGATAAACAGACCATAAACTTATTTACGCGACTTTCCTAATGTTCAATAAATCCAGCAACAGATTATGATGTTACATTTGTGGTTTGAGAGGCTGAAATGCGTGTATACAGGGTTTGGCACTGCGGCTTGAAGGACGGTAGTCGTCGCGCCGCGCATGTGCGACATTTGGGTCGATAAACATTGATCTTCCCACAATCCAAAATACTCTTCTATTACAAATATGAGGTTTAACCTGGGCGCGACTTGCACTAATTACAGCCGGTGACTCCTTCGATTACATCCAATCACCTAAAATATCTAATTAAAGCTTGGTAACGTCTCAGTTTGTACTCGTTGATCTGCACAACAACCAAAGTCGCCATCTTTGTCTATACAAGACGCATATATCTCGCGCATGCGTGGCGCGACGACCATCGCCCTTTAACCCATACTTCCTACACCTCCATCGCAGTTCTGGTGTGTGTGTTTTTTGCGATATTTTGAATCTCAATATGATATCTTGTTTTTCTCCAGGCACATCCTTCTAGCTCGTACTCATATACAGTGGAAATCGATTCAGGTCGACAGTTCAAGATGAGCAACTTGCAACATTCAGTTTTGATTAGCGATTGGAGAGTACATCCAGTATAATATTACATCAATAATGACCTGTCGCAAACGGGAGGCGTGTGTTTACAAACATTTAGCGACAACTTTTTTTATTTATAGTAATCAACGTTCACCACATTTATAATAACCATCGGCTACATTGTCCCTGAATTTCTTCCAGTGTGTGTTATGCCTAGACAATACTTTATTTTGGTCATTTAAATATTAAACACAGTGTCACTGCAATTGTCGAACTGCATTGTGCTGTCTGGGTAGCCTTGGTTATCCTCATAACTTTGTACTCTATTATTGGACTGTGCGCACTTAGAAGAATGTATTGCCAATCCAATGGAGCCAAATGGAAACCCGTAAACTTGTACCCCGGGGGGTGTCACTCAATCCAAATCACATTATGGGAACGTGCCGTCTTTTGAAGGTCGTAATTTTTAGCAGATTGGTCTCTAATTGAGCATAGATTTGCTTGCCTTTAGGTCTTATACTAGGTTAGCCTGGCTAGGATGGGCCGGGGGATGGGGTCAGCTTTTTTAATTTCCATGTATTTACCCGAGTTTTAGTACTTTTATTTATGAATAGTTTCAACCAATAACCGAGTACTTTTAGTGACAATTTGGTCTCTGATGGGATATACAAAATCACTATTTGGTCTATAATGGGGTATGGTTTTGAGGTGAAAATGGTCTATGAGTTGGTCTGGGGTTTTACTTCCCGGCTGCACACCCCTACCAAACTGAAAGGCCAATTCTCCCCGAGCCAGAGCCAGTCTGGTTCTCGATTAACTTGCACCATTCTGAATACTAGTTTTAGACATTGCCCAAATGTTTTCTTAATTTCAGGTCCACTAGATTGCCCAAATCACCAGGTTTCTCATAACGAAGATTGAAAGGTGGGACTTCTCAGTGTACAGTTACTTTCTGGCTTGTAGTGTGGTGTATTCTCCCTGCAGGACAGATCCCTGCGATAACATACATGGTTTTTCTGCATGATCCTTCGATTTATCCAGATGCGGTGGTCCAATGTGCTTTATTAAAACATGGAAAATGACACTATGACCCAAAAAGCATGTACGAAACTTGTTTGTATATTATAACATACCATTGTCCATATTTGGACATTGCATTACATCATTGTCGTACATTATCAGATAATAGAGTACTGTTAAAGGCTCTGAAACTGCATAACATTTTGGATGTTGCAGAAGAAATGAAGACTAAATAAAAGTGCAATACTTTAAGCAAATTGTAATAAAGTAATTCACATGAAGCGTACATGAGCTTTAAACATATGTTTGACTCAATATGTTGTCTGTTGGTCCTGACGTAAAGCCATACACAAGTGAATGTTTCAATACAATGGTGTCCAACACTGTGACCCAGTCACTATACGTGTCAGGTTTTGGGTGTAAAACAAGATGATATCAATGTAGATATGTATATCATAATAATTCCCCACAAGAATTGACTCGTACACCAGCTTGCATAGAATCAACATCTCATCAAACATGGCACTGCACGTCATTGATTACTGTTAATACTATATATAATATTTTCGCTTGGATGTAATTTTCGCTATTTTCGCAGAAGCTACGATTCAGTGAAAATAAAAATCAGCGAATATACTTTTTTTCCTATATTTTAACATTCAACTCACCAAAAATCAGTGAAAATAAATTCCATACAAAACACTCGAAAAAGTCTTTCAGCGAAAATTAATTCCAACTAAAATAAAGCATTTTACAGTAGGTGAATTTCTGTTTACTGCGAATTCTTGCGTGTTGTGTGAAAGACACGGACCGAACATCTGCTGAAGTTTGAACTTGAGTTTCTGGATTTTTTATAGCAAAATCTCGTAATGCTGATCTTTGAGAGGGGAATATTGAATTGAGACATCCTTATTTCAACAAAATTGACCCTCATCAAATGTGAATAGCACATTATTGATAGAGGAAATACCCCCAAAATACTTTCACATTTGTCAATTCCCATGTAATGCTTGATATACCAACAAAGATATGACCTTTGTTTTTCCATTTTTGACGTTCGGTTTCATGGCAGTGAACAAAAAATGGTCTATTGAATTTACAAGACTGCAAGAACCTTTGTTTTATGTTTGACCTCTATATCATTTTATGCAGTATGAATGACAGTAACAATTTTTGCAGACACTCTTGACTTTGCTTGTCATACTTTGCACGCAACTTTTGTAGGAGTATTGTATTTTCAGTTCAAGTTCATTAAAAAAACAATTCTTCACCACAAGAGGGCAGCATAATGGTCATAAAAACTCTCATACTGGCGTTCTTTCTTCTTCATACAAAATCAGATGCGAACCCGTATGACTAGAGTTTTTTTAAGAGTATTCCAACATTTTCAGCAAATTCACTATCTTGGGAATTTGAACCTGCAAACTATAAAACAATTCACAATGTTAAAATAATCTGAAAACCCAGAAAGTATTGTTCAAATCAAATCACAAAACATTGATACAAAATTTTTGTGATAATCACTGATTTCATCTGACATCAGCCTAAATGTAAATATTGCGGGATTATATAAAAATATATCCTCTGAAAGCTTACATATATGCAAAAACGATAGTTCAAATGTCGAACCAATGTTTGTCAGAGGCATTATCTGACGGCCAATTTCGCTACTGTGCTTTTTTTGACTGTTCCAACCTATGGGGGTATTTAACCTTTTCATCACCAGAGATTCTCACCCCAATTTTTCTGGAAATGAACCCAAATTTTGGACCCAACAGACAGTCAATTTTCGTTTTTTTACTCATAAAAAAATTTGCTATTTTTGTACCAATCTTCTGAAGGAAAGAACAGACTATAAACATGACTATTTTGTGAATTTATGATGAAAATAGGGAACTGGTGGTGAAAAGTTTAAAACACAATTTTCTCAACACTTGCCAATGTAGCAAAACCAAAGAATTATTCAAATAATGACAATTTATTATATAATATACAAGATAAAAAGACACACTTGATTCTTTACCTTAATCTCTGAAAATCCTTGACATGGTGGTTTTAGCGTATTTATCGGAGTGTAAATATCATTTAATACCAACCATGTCATGTCCGGTTCTATATTGATAAAACTTTGAAATGTACACGATGCTGCCTAGAAAGTAAGTCATAATCAATCTTATATCATATTTCTGTCAATGTATGACTTAACATCTCTTGGAATGAATGATAATGAAAACAATGCACACAAAAAGTGAAAATGAAAAAAAAATCATGTCAGAAAAAAAAGCCAGGAATTGGTAAACATCAATATCTCGGAGGTGGTGCTGTCTAGATTCAAAACAGATTCACAAATATTGGCTTAAAGGAATTCACAGGAATTTATTGCTAAACATAAATCTGAATTGATCATCATTGTATATTTGCTTGAAATTTGAAGATATTTTTCCAGGGTTTATAAATAGTATTTTACTTTGCATAGACAGGGCAAACCATCACAAAATGTTGTCCTCTTCAATTTGATTTTTGCTGGCAACCGAGTATGGTGTTCTGTTTCAATCCTCAGTTGCCACTTAATAAGTTACAGCATGTCCTAGTATGTTATGAGGTATCTGCATCCTATCTTATTAGGAAATGTTTATTCCAAATAAGGAATGATGATGCAATATTTCCAAGATGGTTGACAGATGTATCCTATCTTATTAGGAAATGTGAATTCCAAATAAGGAATGATGATGCAATATTTCCAAGATGGTTGACAGATGTATCCTATCTTATTAGGAAATGTGAATTCCAAATAAGGAATGATGATGCAATATTCCCAAGATGGTTGACAGATGTATCCTTCCCTATTAGGAAATGTGAATTCCAAATAAGGAATGATGATGCAATATTTCCAAGATGGCTGACAGTTGTATACCACTTTAATAGGAAATACCAAATTCGGAATAAGGAATAATTATGCAATATTTCCAAGATGGTGTATTTGTTTAACAATGGAACAGTCCCCCCAGATTATTACGAAAAATCCTACGCATACTTAATCAGTATGGATCACAGTAACAAATTTTGCTCTTGACTGGCATGTGACAATATTCAAAGCTGAACAGCAGCTTTGGGAAGTACAATAAAATTCCTTAGTTTCAGAAATTGTTTTACTTTGAA